GCTATGGGTTATCTATTCCCAGAGATTGGGAGCGTGAATTAAATGGTCTTTTGGAAGATGGGAAATAATTATTCTTCTGCTTCAGAGCCATGTCCAATTGAATGATGTCGCCAGCACAAATCAGCAATCACAATCACTGATGAAGACCCATTAAACAGATTGGGCTGAGTAATGCACAGGAAAAAATGTCAGGAGCATCTTTAATTCTGAGTCTCTCAAGCCTACAATGGTCTTTTCTTCTTTTTGTGTTTTGTTTGTTTGTTTGTTTTTTCTAAAGAAACTCTTTAAGCGCCTAGAGCTTTTTTTCTCAGTGCTTTAAAGCTGGAAATAGCTCCAAATGTATTTCCACATCATTCCTGATGGAAAGACAAGGACTGGAGGAGCTAGAAGTTTTGTGGGTATTGTCTGGGATATCTGAAGGGTATTGTTTAGGATAGCTGAAGTGAATAAAGGTTTTGGAAAAAGACTTGGGCAAGACCCGTTGGGAATTCCTCCACTCCCAGCTCTGGCATATTGTTTTGTACGGCACGTCTCCTGGCAGAGGCTGGGGAAGGAGAAAGCTTCCCCAGGGCCAGCACTTCTGTTCAGCTGGAGAGAAGGGTGAGTGTTGACTGATCCTTACTGAAAAAAAGACACGTTCTTCTGTAGCTTAACTATTGCAAAAGTGACATAATGAAGTCAAATGTTAGGGCATGATCATTAGGAGAATTTATTAGAAACGCTTGGCTGTACAATGAATTCAGTTGGAAGTTATGAACTATAACTCTTTAGCCTTAGTGGAAGGAGGCAAATCTTATTACAGTGTTTTGCTTTTTCACCATACTAACTGCAACTTCAGGAAAGCTGCACCAGAGGTAAACTTCACCCATGGGCCAGAGAAACAGGATAAAGGACTGGGCAACAGGTTAATTGACTAGGTAAAGTGCAACATCTCCTCCAGAGGACTGTAGTTTACCCAGATGGCAAAGGAAGACTGGAAAAGGCCCACATTTAGGAATAAAGGAATTTTTACTTGTCGTCACACACAGGTTCTATCTATTCCACTGGTGTGGCTCATATTAATTAGTTGCTGTACAATCTGCCTCCCTGTTACACCTCATCTTAACCCCTAGTAGGTCAAACACATTACATCAGCCCCTTGAAGAGCTAGTATCTTTTCAAGATGTATGTTGACATTAATAACATTAACAAAGCAAATACAGGAAGCAGCAGTGGCACAAGCCTTCTGCAAAGGTGTAGCCTAAGATCAAATTTATCGTAGTTGTACTAAAAAAATTGTACTTAATAAAGGTCCTGGACTATTTTTTGGAAGGATGCTGCAGAGTTGTGTTGAAGACGTTGAGAAGGAGCAACGGTGGCCCAGGCTGGGGCCCCACCTGACCCAGACCCTCAGCACGTGGGCTGGGTTTCAGCCATCCAAATTTGTTCAGCAGCAGTGTAGGTGGCTTCATCCCATCTGACATCACTACAGTGATGAAAAAGACACTTCTGAGGCAATGTATCCTAAAGGAGCTATCCAGAACAGGTCAGGTGAAGAACCATGGTATGGAAATGCCAATTTCTTACCTTTTAATAAAAAGGGTAGAGGCTGCTGGCTCAGTGTTGTGGTTTAACCCGGCCGGTGGCTAAACACCACACAGCCACTTGCTCACCCTCTGCACCCCCTCTCTGGAATGGGGGAGAGAAACGAGAAAACTGAAGCCTGTGGGTTGAGCTAGAGACAGTTTATTAGGACAGAAAATAAAATAATAATGATAATATGTACAAAACAAGTGATGCACAATGCAATTGCTCACCACCTGATGACCGATGCCTAGCCTATCCCCAAGCAGCCTGCCCCCCTCCACCTCGGCTAGCCACCCCTATATATTGTTTAGCATGACATCAGATGGTGTGGAATACCCCTTTGGCTAGTTTGGGTCAGCTGTCCTGGGTCTGTCCCTTCCCAGCTCCTGCTGCACCCCCAGCCTGCCCACTAGCAGGACAGAGCAAGAAGATGAAAAGTCCTTGGCTCGGTGTAAGCACTGCTCTGCAACAACCAAAACATCAGTGTGTTATCAACATTCTGCTCATCCTAAGTTCAAAACATAGCACCCTACCAGTTACTAGGAGGAAAACCAGCTCTATCCTAGCTAAAACCAGGACACTCAGTTATAGCTATCCAATAATAGATGGAAGACATCTGACCTCTCATCTCAGAACAATACTTCAATTTTCATTGTTCTTCCCTCCCCCCAGATACCCTCAGATTTGAGCTGCCACAGATCTGAAGAAGTGTTTGAAAATATCGCCTGAGTTTAACTAGTGTTTGCCTGAGCCTGCAGGCAATCTAAAAACAACAGCTTCAACAAATGCAAACTGTTTCCCTGCCTTTAAAGGTAAGAGATGTGGACATGGGAGGAGCGTGTAGGTTTTGCCTAGAACTTTGTTTTGTCTCATTTCAGCCTAGGAAGCAGGAGCAGTGAGAGGGATCTCTGCATCAACTGATCCAGCAGCATGTATCAATACCCAGGGTTTTGTCCCTGTAACAGGATGTATAGCAGCATCGTTTGTCTCAAAGCTAGTGAGTAATTCACTCAGCTGAAAGGTAGTGAGGGTTCACCTGTGCTTGTGTGCCTCTAATTTTTCTGTCTATGTATATGTAACATGCATTATTGTATGTCCTGGGGGCTCATGAATTAGAGATTTGAAGCCTGGTAGCCAAAATTTATTTCATCGAGAAACAAAGTCTACTCATGTCCCTTGTGTCTGTGGATCAGCCTTGCAGAGGTCCTCTCTGTGCAGTTTCAAAAGTGCTGCAGGGTGAGGAAAGATGCAATACAGCATCTTGTACTGCAGCAAGAAAGGGCTTCACAGCAGAAAGGTTCTTAATCTCCAAACAAAGAATAGTGGGAGAGCACAGAAATCATTTAGGGATTTCTAGTCTGCATTGGCATACTCAGATGCTGTTGATTGATGTACCTGCTGGATCAAAGCTCCATTCTCCTCTATTGGATTTGATATTTATTGGGAGTCCTGGTGTCCTCCACCCGGATGTGGGTACGTTCCAGCTCAATGGCAAGGGCGTTCATACAGGCAGGATGGCAAACAATGCCTGCTTGTTTTGACTGTAGGTTGTTAAAATGCTACTTTGGAGGTTGTGTCATGATGTTGGAATGCGATTCAGTGTGAAAGACACGGCAGTGTTTTAAAGGGGTATCGTGCAGATCCCTGCTCAGCTGCATGCATCGGGGGTACAAGGGGAAGGCTGCACGGCACTGTGCTCACATCCCACGCATGCTGTAGACACCCGGATCTTTCTAACTTTCTTTGTAGGTGCTGCTTTCCAAAGTTCTTCAGCATTTTTCTTTTTGGTGGGGTTTATGCAGTCTGCCTACCTTTCCCTTGAAAAGCAGTATCTGAAAATGAGATGCTGCACTTAGCTGAGAACTCACCTGTGCCAGAAAGAAATCGTTCCGTGACCTCTGTTGGGTACGATGCTCCTGGTAATCCCTAGGAGATTGCTCTGTCTCTAAGAGGAGACAAAAGCCAGAGAGCTAAAGTGGGAGGAAAATAAATTCCTTGGAAAAAGGTCTATTGAGGGCAGGTAAACAAATACAAAAGAACCATTCCTGCCTCTGCAAACTTCCAGAGTGCAAATTGGAAGTCAGAAGAGCATTCTGCAGTAGAGATGTTACATGTCCTGTCCTTTCTGTCTTTCCTTGGCAGTGGCTGTTTGTCACAGCTGGGTAGGGGACACTGAGCTGTTCGTGTGACTTGGGAAAGGAAAGGGACAGAGACAGCAAGGAACAGGTGCTTTGCTCTGCTGCTGGGGTGCTGGGCAGCAGCTTTGGCTTGAGGAATGATTGAGGTTTGGGGCCAAACTATCCACCAGTCACATAGGACACTTGTCTGTACCTGGGCTTATGTTCAGTGGGGTTAATCAAAGGTGTTTATGGATACGGCTGGCTGGGAAATTTGGAAATGCTGAAAAATTGTGTTGTGCCAGACTGGGGTGCAAATCCTGGAAAAATGTCATATGCTGCCAAACCAAAAGGAAAAAAAAAAGTTTTTCTCAGTTGAAATGTTTTTCTTGACGCCTCTATGAAAAGCTGAGAAAAAATCGAAATGAAAGATTTCAAAATTTAATTAAACTGCACAGACAGTTCTCTTGAACAAAAAGCAAATGGCTTTTTAGTAACTGTTCAAACAGCATGTTTTGATTATTTTGGATTTTCCCCCCAATCTTTTTTTTCCCTTGGGTCTGGAAATGTAGTGACACCAAACCATTCCTACAAAAAAAAGGTTTGGGTTTGGATGAATCCAAGTTTTTCAACAACATGTTTTGTGAGAAAATTCCCTGCTGCTTCTGTTCATCAATAAATTTGATGAGTTTAACCAGTCTCATGGCTGGCTAGGGAAAATAAAAGATCCCCCAGTTAGAGAAGTGGATAAATAACTTGGCACAAAGTCCTTCTCTGTTGACTCAGTTTACTTTGTGGACCCGGGCATGACTGTCATAATAAATTAAAGTATGAGCATTCCCATTTGTCACTTCACCACTTCCTTTTGCTGCCTTCCAACATGTGGTAAACCCATTAGTTTTAACACAGAGAGAAAAGACCAGATGAGGGGAGGAGAACAACACTAGAATTAAGGGGAGAGAGGAAAAGGGGGAAGACTTGCAGGGCGGAGCGAAGGCATCACTGAGGCAGGCACAGGCAGTGTATTTATGGGGCCAGACTCATACTGAAGTTGTTAGGCTCTGTCAGCTGCTGATGGGGAAAAAAGGAGACGATGATTCTTCTGCGAGTCAGTAATAAGCCCCCTCCAAATGCTTAGGGTGGCCCAAAATCCAAGATGGAGAAGTCTCCTCTCAGTCCCGGCCTGTCCCAGTGTTTGAGCGAGTTGTGCACCGGACCATTACCATGCAAGGTGTTCCTTGCTGTCTCTTCAGCTGTGCACGGCTTCTCTTCATCGCTCCTTGCCATCATCTGCAGTCATTTCCTAGAGCTAGAGGAGGGATGTGCTCAGAGCAGGCCCCTTGTTGACAAGGTGTGAACAGATTGATGGCCATCCCGTCCCACCTGGCTTCACAGGAATAAATGCAGCCCAAGCGGGCTTTCCGGGAATCCCCCACCAAACTTCAGCCCCTGCAGAAACAGAGGGTTTGTGCTTTGAGTGAGAGCAGAGGTCAAATTCAGAAAGAGAGAAGGGCGTGTTAGGTGTATGTAAGTGTGGTGGGAAGCTCAGAAGAATGTAAGTTTGGGATTTGAAAGCATCACACTCCTGAATTATGATTATTTATTATGATGATAGTGCCTAGAGGCCCCAGTCTCGTTGTGCTAAGGACTTCACAGGCATATAATGAAGAGACAGTCCCTGCCTGGAAGATGAATGAGGAAAACCTCCCTAAAGGGGGCTGGGAACAGGTGTGGCATATATCCATCAAGCTGATGGAGCGTGTTTACGAGATGGGTATGTAACTGTGTGCAAGTGTAAGAGAGACAGCAAGACAAGGAGAAAGTTGGATGGTAATTTTCATCTCCCTGGCTCTGAAGAAGGGTTTTGATTATTTTTAATCCTCACCTTTCTTCTCCGGTAATGATTATCCACAGGTAAGAAATGAATTATCAAAAAAGTTTGAGTGATTTTGCTGAAAATCTGGATGCTGAGAGATATGTTTCAGTCATTTGCTCTATCTTTAAGCAAGTCACTTCAGCTTAGACTTTTTTTTTTAAAGGTAATTAAGTACACAGTCCCCATGATGTCTCTTTAAAAATCTGGCTTTCTCTAATCTTTTAGTGCTTCAGTTTTAGGGGAAAAAAACGGATAAAGAAACAAGTTTTTTCATGAGCAGCAGATTTAGTGAAGCCCCACGGACTTGTAGCTTGTGTCTTCCAACGTAGATGGCTGGCAACATCTCTGTCCTTGCAGCGTCCCCCACTGTGCTGGGCTGGGCAAAGCACAAAATATTGTCTGGAGCTTTTGGGGAGGGACCTGCTGCTCGTGACAGGTAAGCTTCTGGGTTTTAGCTGCCTTGCCTTCATTTGGGAAACTCCTTTGAAATTCTGCCCCCTGTCAGATTTGCCCAAGATTGGACCACGGTCTCCAAAGTTACACGATGAGGAGGGAAATCAGCAAATGTGCTGGCAACACAGTCACAGAAAAAGATTTGTTTCTTCGGCAGTCAGGCTAGGACCGATGTTCGCTTACAGCAACATCCTGGAAACCTGGGGGTGAAATTTGCCTAATATTGAGGAAGCCTGTGCTTGCTAAGGGTTAATGCATCAACTGCTCTGAAGCTCATTAAAGAGAGGGGAACAGAGCATTCTGCCCAGCAGTGGGGCATGGGGCTTCTTGAGTACTTGAGGGAGCAAAAGGAGCAGGAGAGAGATGGATTTTTTTTTTTCTTTTAGTTTTTAGAACAATCACCAACAAGAAGAAACTTAGCTATTCTTAGTCACATCTAGGGGCTATGCATATTCCGTCCTGCTGAATTATGGAATATGATAGCTTTTATTAAATCCATTACAATTACAGCCTCTCTGCTGCACAGGTTTAGAATATGGAATAAGTAGGGTGCATAATTTCAAATAAATATTTAAGATTTTGATGCATGATAGTTTTAGACTCTTAGAACATAGAATTATATTTCGTTATGTCTGTTTGCTTTTAATTCACGCACGTTTTCGTATCTAGCTACTTTGTAGTGTTAGAAACTTTATTGTTTATTGTTTTTAGGTTTCTTTTTGTTTGTTTCTTAGTGTTTGTACTAGGAAAAACATCACGGCTGATGCAGTTCTGCCCATTTCTACTGGTGGCTTGACTCTTCTGTAAAGTGGTTGGATATATAAAGTCAGAGATAAGGGAGAATTTCCTGTAAAGTTGAAATTAATTCAGGAAGCGTGTAACTGGAAAATGCATTGGTCAAAAATTTGTCAAAAGGAAAAAAAAAAAGGACAAACTCTGTTGAACAAAAAAGTGGCAAGTGTGACAATTTGGGTTGTGTCTCTTTGCAGGGGACCTAGGAGCAGTAGGAGAGCAGGAGGTGTGAACACTGCTGTTACCCCGCATCTCCAGCTAGCAGCTGCTCTTGGGCTCTCCTGTGCTCATGGACCTTTCTCCTCCATGGCACAGAGAAGTTTCTGCCAGTAGCCTTGCTGCTCAAGCCAACAGCTCTCTGCAGGCGTCTCAGCAGCTTTTGGTTAATCGTGCTGCCCCTAGCCTTGGGGTAGGGGCTTCACAAAACCAGAACTGGACCACCTGATCCCTAAAGTGTCAGAAGCTCTCAGAGGGAGAAGCAGGGAGGGGTAGCTCAGGATTTCCCTCGCGGGTTGCCCAGACAAATGACGCAGGAGCTGATGAAGAGCAGCAATCTGTATTACCTCTTTGTGAACAAGGATGGGAATCTCTGAGCACGATAGCAAGAGGGAAAAACCCCTCTGCATGATTTGTGTGTGCTTCCTTTGTCTTCCCCACACCTGCTCCCTTTCCTCTTCCGTTCTCCCCACCCACCCTTCAAGAAGATGCTCTAGGTGTTGGCTTTGACTTGGCTGCCAATGCTCTGCGGAGATGTGTTAATGATGACTGGCAGCTTTTAAAAGTGCTGTTTCAACACCTTGCTGTCACCACACCTCATACTTCAGCAGCTTAGCACATGTTCCAAGGTGTTTAAAGAGCTTCCCGTGCAGCCCTTTTCCAGGCACTAACCCCTTGCCAGGAGCAGTAGCAGCTCCTGACCGCACTTTTCTGGCTGCGACCTTGTTAGTATTTGCCTACGACATGTAAATGAGCAGCGTGGTCGTTAGCTAGTGAAATGTGTAATGTTTTCCATTGTGTGGAAGGCTCTGAGCTGACAAGAGCAGAGCCTGTGTTCCAAAGTCTAAAGCAGTTGGCAGGTTTCTCAGTACCAGTTTTTTATGCCCCCGAGTGGGTTATGGAGCGGAAAAGGGGGTGGAGAGGAAAGAGGGAGGAATGTGTGTGGATGTATGGTGGGGGGAGAGTTAGCGGGAGAGAAGGGCCATTTGCAAGCCACCAGCTTTGAATTTAGCTCGCTTGGGCCTTGTGGTGGTGCTGAAGGGCCTGTTGGGCTCATTTGATTGACTCTAGGCTTAATGCTGCTTGCCACTTACCAGCACTTGTCTTTGCTCATTAGCAGGGGGATTGTGGGCAAATATTTAGATATTCAGGAGAGGAAATGTTAATCTTTGCTGTGTTCACTGAATATTTAAATGAGGCGGCAGGCAGTTTTGCTCTGTGTTTGACCTAGACTTACAGTGCTGAGCAAACACTCGAGTCCTAGGATGAATTTGCAGACTTACACCTCCCTGCTGCTGGGGTTGGAGTCCTGCAGTGAAATTCAGACCTTTTTAGGACAGGCAGTGCAAGCAGCCTACAGAAGCCCTCCTGTGTGTCAGTGGTGCAGAAGCTTTGATCACAGCAATTTGAAGCACAGGGAAGTGCCACCCCCATGCAGTTAGAATAATGCTGGCTGTGTTACAGACCCTCTGCTCCCTGGGCAGGAGATGGCCCCCCAGTTATGGCTGAAGGTGGCCATGACTGATAATTACCAATAGACTGAGCACTCAGAACACTCCTTTTGATTAAAAAATGAGGAAAGTACAGGTATTCTCTTGAGGCTTGGACAGGCAGATCTCCCAAGCGAAAGCATGAATTAGGAACTTACCTTGTTTGGAGATGAGCATGGTGTTTGTGATGGTGTCCTGATGTCTCCCATGTTGCTCTGGTGGGCTGGTGGATAGACTAGCTACCTCCTCCGAATGTGAAATGGACTCAGGTGAGGTTAATTTGCATTTGCAAGCTGGAAGTGGGTAATGAGAAGTGTCTTGCATCATGTCTCATCACCCAGAACATTTCTGGAAGTTTACACATTTGTTTTTTCTGTTCTTTCTCATTGCTACCTCCTGTACTTATTCTAGACAATGAACATGGAAGCATGAAAATCTAGTTGAGCATCAAAATCGAAATCATTGCAGCTTTGTAGGAAATGATCTCAGTGGATAAGGTTAAAAGACAAATGTTAAGTAAGAGACAGAGTGCCAAAAACTGGCAGCTGCTTATTTAACCCATGTTTTAAGGGAGCGTGTTTAATGGATCATGGTACTAGCTTTGCAAGGTAATGAAACAGGTAAGGTAAAGCCAGATCCTGACAGATGCTGAGCAACTGCCCTGGCCCAGTAGTAGCTCTCTGGACCAGAACCTCTATGGTTAAGTCAATTCAGTCAACATGAAATTATTATTTAATTTGATCAATTTACATCAAAGTCACCTGAGAAATTATTCATTTATTCCTAAACACAGTCACTGGCTACATGCTGAAGGGTGACGTGAAAAACATTTGTTATGGATTTTATTATTGACAGAGTGCATAACACAGTTTCTTTATATTTTCTGTCTCTTGTATTCCAGTAGCTGCTAGTCAATTAAATATTTCTCCAGTAAATTGGAGGTTTAGAAAATCACCTGGGAGTTGTATGACTCCTCTTAGTGGGAATTAAGAGAGTTATCCTAGATTTAGGTACATCTGACAGCTCCCCCATGCGCAATTCCTCCATTGGTGGCTGTGGCCTCTTACCCCTGATCTCTTCCTGTTTTTCCTTTGGCATTTTTCCTTTTGTCTTTATTATTCCTTTTATTATTCAGCCATGTCCTCAGTGGTTTTATACCATATAGATCAGCTATCTGGAAACAAGAGGCAGCAGGCAACTTGTGAGCCAAAAGCTAGCCGTGGCTTCAGCCACAGCAAGAGCTTTGGGTCATGCCAGCCTGTTCACGGTGGTGGTAACAGGCATGAAGCCCCACATTTATACCATCTGGTTTCACTTCTCTTGGCTTTTTTAGGTTTGCAGCACCAGACTGGCTGGGCTTTTCCATGAGTACAGTAAATGGCTGCTTGTGTGTAATTTTTGAAATGCCCTCTTTGAGTCTGTTCTCATTGTCAGACTTTTTTGTTGTTCTTCTTCCTGAGTAACTCTGGCATTGTGTTCAGAAACCTCTGGCTTGTAGCTCTCTGCAGATATAGGGCACTTGCTGCTCTAGGGAGTGATGCAGTAATGGGAGAGAGCATCAAAGGGAGTCTCCTGCAGTTGGGTTTGTCAGCTGCACTCAAGTGCATCGCGCCCGGCAGAGTAAAATTCCTGGTACCGCTTCCTCCACTGATACTCCCTCATCACAGCCTTCCCTCCTCCTCTGTTACCTTTGCCTGGAGCCCAGCAGGAGGAGGATGGTGGGGTGAGGGGCAGCACTAAAATAAACCCAGAAGAGCCTAACACCGAACAGATTCCAACCTGTATAGGACAATTCCTCTGTTAGGGAGTGTGCCCGTCTTTGCACTGTCTGAGGGTTGTTCTTCAGTTGCTGTTTTAGGCCGTCTGATTTTGAAATGATGCTAGCTGTAGGGAAATAAAAGCATGTTTAACTGGGGCTTGTGCCAAAGATGCAGTGTAACGTAACTCGAGGTAGAAACAGGAAAGGTCATGTTCACATCCGCGTCTCCTCGCTTCTTCCTCTGGAGCTTCTGTCTTGGCAGGTGTCTGTAGGATAGATGGCAAAAGATAGTGGCTTGTGCTCAAGAAAATTCAAAGCAGCAGCAATAATCCCAGTAATAGGGCAAGTCAAAGAGCTGTAAGATAAAGAACAGATAATGAGGATTTGAACGTTATATCTCTTTTCTATGTTTTTCTCTACAGCTTGAGATGTGTGTTCCAGTAGCGGGTTTCCAACTGAAAAGTTCAGTTCAGAAAGGAGATGGGTGTCCCTTTGTCCATGGCACAGGCTGCAGAAGTTCTCGTCTCTGCCACTTGTTCAGTTCTGGCTGTGACAGTTAAAAGAGAAAAGTCATTCTCCGATAGATTTAAGAAGCCAGCATGAAACAGGTCCACTGATTTAATTGCCAATACCTAAAGAAGCTTGTCTGATGGAAGATTATCACTGTTATTGATTGGAATGGGAGGTAACATGCGCTAGGACAGCTTCAACAGAGGAGCCAGCATGACTTGGGGAGCTGTTTAGAGAGGCAGGGATGTATTCTGTGCTGGTGTAGCTATTATTCTTCATAAGTGAATTTAGCCCATGTGGAGGAGAAGCAATTCCCTATGCTCGCTTTGCCCTCACCGCTGACCTCCAAGCAGGGATTAAGTATTACACTGACTTTTACCTAGCAGTGAGTTATAGTCTATGTGGATGGAGGCTCCTGTCCCCAGGATCATTTCTCTCCTGCTCTCTCAGTATATGCTGTTCTTGCTGGTTTATTGCTATTTCTGGTTTTTGTTTCATTGGTTGGTTCTTTTTTATCAAAAAGTAATAATTAAAGGAAAAACAAATCTTCCCTTCATCGCCAACCAAAACCATAAAGGGAGCAGGCAGTTTGTGATTCTTGGTTGCACGTGGCAGGAAGAAAATATTTAATTCATTTTCTAGCATGAGCCATTGCAAACATGAAAGGGACATTGTCAACTAATTTGCTTTTTCCCACAAAGTGTTGCACAACCCATCGAGGAGAGTGTCTTTTTGGTGTGGTACATGCCAAGCTCCAGAAAGGAAAACGCTGCTGAAGCGGTGCCAGCTGGCTGCGTGCCCATGCTCCATTTCCAAAGCCAAGGTAATGGCATCAGCAAGGTTGGCATGAAAGCAGAAACAAAACAATCTCAGCATCTTGACTGCAGGCGCCCTTTGGAGCAACTCCTGTGTGAGAGAGGAGAGGAGATGGAAGAAAAAAGCGTTTGCCCTAGTAAAAAGTGTTTGGGGGAAAAAAAGTCCAGTGAGCCAAGTTGTTGGTGGAAGTGCAGTTCTCTGAACACCAGGAGGTTCTGGGGAGCAGTCAGCTTCAGTCAGATAGCTCAGCAGGAACTACCTAAATCCTTCGTTTTTACAAGTAGCAAAATGTAAATATTGACAGTGTTGAAACATTATCTGCTGAAAGTAATTCCATTTCAGTTTTTTTATGACATGGCAAAATATTAACTGAGCTGTACGTCTTTCTTTCTTATGTACTAAAGAATTAAATAAATATTAAATCCAATAAAAATATAATTGTTGCTATGAAAGCAGGAGCTTGAACCTGTACTAAACGAGCTTTTGTTCCCCCAGCATTACTGGTTTAGGGTAATTCTGAATTTTCAGTTTCTTGTTATGGTTCATTACAGTTAGGGAGTATTTCTGTCATTATGAAACTTTGTACAGAAACTGTTTGCAGACCAGCTTTAATCAAGGTGTGCTCTGAGATCATTTTAACTGTGGATACACAGTTTAATCTTTCAGTGTATTTTAGAACAGTTAGATAAGAGGACCTACATGACATTACGTATAAAATACTTGGTATTTACCATGGGCCCGTACATGACCCAGTGTTTCCTGCTGAGCAGTGGGGTTTGTTAACTGGGGTACAGTCCCATTCTGGTGTGTCTAAAGGACTTTAGAAGGGAGAGGTTTCCATCCTGCTAGCTAGGAGTGCAAGTGAAGCTACCTCACAATTATCTACGTTCGTTTGTTCAGATTTGTGGATCAGCAGAATTGACTCAAGGGATTTTGAGGTCATTTGAGGAGTCAGAGGGACCCGTCAGTGCTGCTTTGGTGCCATGGCTTACTGCTCTGAAAGTGTTTCTGATAACTCACAACAAGAGAAGTGTAATGGATTTTCAGGGTGTTACAAGATGCCAAAGACTTCACCGCCACCCTAACTGTGACTGGTTAAACCTTTTTTTTTAATGTAATCTGCCTCCAGCACTGTCCAGACTATTTTGCCTTTATTTACCCATATTTTTTTCATGTTTTTTTTTGTTCTTTTTGTTATAGGAGCAAAATATAGATACAGCTGGAGCCATCTGTACGTTGCTGTCTTTTTGAGCAGTGGAAGATGAGTGTAGACTGTAGCAATGTGCTTGTTTAGATCCTCTGCTCTCTTCAGCCACTCTGCTCTCAGTCATTCCCAGCAATAACATGTGAGGTTTATCTTTTGTTGTGTAGCTTGCTGGGCAGAAGCCAGGAGGTTAATGCATGCTGGAATGTCATCCCTAGCATGACACTGCAGTGGAGGTGTTGGAATTGAGCGCTGGTAGATATACGTTTTATTCCTGGCCAAATCATGGACTCATCTGTTTCTTTTGCCATTTCTCTCCTCCCAGAGAAGATTGGGCAGTGGTGCTCTGTACTTGGCAGGAGTGCTGCAAAGCTTGTTGGACGTATGTTGGTGGAGTGCTCCATGGATGTCAGACATCAGTAGAAGTTCACAGTGGTGCATTTTCCAATGACTCCATCCTCTTTCATTTGCCCTGATGAGCATTAATTGCAGATGTCCCACCTCTGGGGAAGGATTAGGCCTTCTGTCAAGATTTCTGGTGCTGGGTGTTGAGAAGGAGAAGATTTTTGAACAGTAGTTAAATCTGTGAAATTTGAGCATTCTGAGGCTTTGGGGGTTAGATTTATCCCTTCTTTTCTTTGAAGAGGGAATATGGTAGGAAATAAAATATTACATCAAAAACTGTACTTTAGTTCTTAAGAAAAAGTATTATGTGTACTCATCGTGTGGAAATTACTAGTAGGTCAGTTTCCCAAACAAGTAAAGGTTCTTAACACTTGAATAGAAATAATTAGACCAAACATAGTAGAGATGAGAGATGCAAAGCATGCCCAAGCACTTCTAAGAGACTATGGTTGTGGTTAGGTGTATTCCTAATGCGTAGGAGAAACCAGAACATTCAATACAGAAAACATCAAAAATGTTAGCTGTAAAAGAAAAATGAAAAATGAAAGTGAAAAAAGTTACTCACCAAGGTTCTACCAGAAATGCTACGTGAATAGAGACCTAGAGATCTAGATAGATAGACCTAGAGATCTAGGTCTGGAATACTTACTAACGTAAGGAATATAACATAGGAATACATTTGAAAGAACAAAAATGACCCTAAACTCCTTGAGCATTTGAAGTAGAAGGAGGTTTATTGAGGGTTAACGGGCATCTTTCAGATCTCTGCAAGAGGAAGGGAAGCAGTCAAAGAGAAAAGGAAAACTTCAGAGCAGCTAAATATTCTTTTGGTTCATCTTTCTTCTTTTCCAGCAGACACTGGCAATAGTTACCACTGCAGCTTTATTACTCTTTTCTGATAATAAAGGTGAGACACTGAGGTGTCAAGAAGCAGTATTCTGGAAGGATTAAATGGATTGCATCCAAGAGCACTGAAGGAATTAAAGATAAAGGTCTAAGCTTGCACTTAAACAAGCATCTTCTGGGGTTTACTTGGCAACCAATTTCTAGCTCTTCAACTAATACTCCCAAGTGTCATTTATGAAAATTTTGGTGGAGTTTTTGTTTTGTTTTGTTTTTAATTTCTGGTGAACATTTTGCAGACAGAAGGAGGCAGGAGTGGAACAACAGCCCCCCGATCTGTACAATTAAGTGCTGCATGTCATCTCAGAAATTACAGGCTCCTGGGCTATATTTCAGTACCTGGTAACTAAAAATGGCTTAGTGGTCAGAAAGTCATCGATGTTTGCTTCAGAGGTAGTAGTTATTGGCAGATGCCCAATAAAAGGCTGAGCTATTTTGTCATCTGTCAAGGAGATAGGATGGTGGGGTTTAGGACCACTGCTTTGGTTTATAATGTAAATGTATATGTCTGTTAATTCTGTTTTTAATTAGCTGCATCAGTCTGGGTTTGCTGCTTTTGTATGCTGTGTTTTAGTGACAATTGACCGTTTTTACCTTTTCAGAAGGAGAAAGATGTAAAAGCAGCTCTTGGAGTCAGTCTTTATTGACTACTTGTGCAATTCCTGGTTACCCTGACCAAGGTCAAGAGATTGTGCCCAGGCAATAATTCGTCTGTCACAAGAACTCCTGTGTGACTCCTGCCGATCGCTCAGATTGCCCGCAGCAGCTGCCTTCGCTCTTAAGGGAGGTGAGCAGAGATGAGGAATGAACAGGCCTTTTTCTCGTGTTTTTTTTTTTGTTTGTTTGTTTTGTTTTGTTTTTTTGTTTTTTTTGTGTTTTTTTTCTCTAAGCTTTTCTCAGGCCATGCAGACTGGATCTCAGTGTTTATAAAAATAGAGTCTGGTGTTTCATATGTGCTGAGATACAGCTTTTAGGATCATATGTATGTTGAGCACCTGGCTGAAGAAAAGGCACGTGCATTAAGGACTCACTCTCTATTTTCTCTTTTGACGTCAGTGCTTTGAGCATGGGTAGTCTTGATGAACGTGGGTTTTAGGCTGAGGAGGCTCCAGCCCTTTAACCTTAGAAGCCAAAGGGAAATAAGTTCCTGTTTGCATTGAATGCCCTGGTTCATACTGAGTGCTGAGATTGAGGTGTGGTGTTTCTCACCTGGTGTGTCACTAGTATTTAAAGCCATGGAGTGACGCAACCTCTTGCAACGTTCAGGTCTTAGAAGATATTATCAAGACAAACTGAGATCTTAGAGCTCAGGCCCCAACAGGCAACTAGCACTCCTGATCATCTTCTGAAATGCAGTTAATTGTGTGCCTGCATACACACCCTGGTAATGAGTAAGTAGTCTCTAAAATTTCACCTTTTACAAATACTTTCAAACTGACCCTGAAATGTCTCTCAACCCAATTAAAAATGACCTCGTGTCTCTGATTCACGAACCGTTCATAGCTGGGAGTGGATCCACTGAGTTCAGGTGTAAAAATGTCAAGTCTTCAAGAAGTAACCCAGAATTATTACAAACTGCCACAAGAAATACATTGGCTCAGTTTCTTTCCCTTGATATTTCTACCCTATTGTTATGAATTTTACTGGATCTCTTATGAGGATCCTAATCCCAAGTAAGTCCCAGGAAAACAGCAACAGTGCTGGTATGCAGCTGGCAGGGAGCGGAGCGAGCAGCGTGTTGCCTGAACTGATGGCCTTACCTTGCCCAGCATGGTGTCTGGCACTGCTGTCTGTCTCCTGTATTGAGCTGAACTGCTGTATAGGTCAGGACATGTTTGGCCAGGCCTGTGACTGTCTTCCGGACATTCACCAGCCCCGTCTCCATCTATCCTTGTAATACCACATTCCTTTCTCTTTTTTTATGCTGACATCTCCCTGTGTGTGTCTGTCTTTCCCTCTTCTTTCTAGCCTTAAACCTCTATATCTGTCTGCCTATTCCAGTCATCGCTATAGTTTATGAATTACTCCGAAACATGAATGATTTTTATCCTGGTAAACCTCTGTCAGAAAGAGAAAAAGAGGTTTTGTTCTGCTTTTTTCTCTCCCTCCCCAGTTTTCATCATGCTTCCTTCCCAGCTTTCCTCCATCCAGTTCTCCCTTTCCCTTTCTCATGACGTGAGCGTGTTATTCTGTTCAAGCTAATGGCTTTTACCTGCTAATGGGAGAACTGTTCTCTTCTGTCCTTTGCTCTTTGGCAGCCCCTGAACTCTGCTATTTCCTGTGAGGTTTGATAAGTCTTGAAACTCTGCTGGCAAGAACCCGAAAAGCTCAGGACTCCAGACTGCATTGTGTGTTTGAGTGAACAGTCACAAGTCCTCTTTTGATCATAACACCTACACACGTTCACACTTCAGTCCTGTAAGCCTTGCAGAAGTTTTACTAAACGTCTAGCTACAAAGCAAATTTTATGAGCTGTATTACAGGTGTGAAGCAGCTTTTATTAGGGAGGAATGTGTCGAGAGAAGCTCTGCAGGTAAGATTCCTCAGCTGTCTGATGTTACTTTGGAAACACAGGCTGCATCCCTTTTTCAGTGGATATAAAATATAATTCTCACCATCCAGGCTAGCTTTAGTTCCCTGCTTATTGGGAAGTTCGTGGAAACCGTGGTCACCATACCCTCAACATCACAAGTTCTTGATTTTGTGTCTGCCCTGTATGCAGAAGGGCACTGGCTTACTTTGTTTTCATCAAAACTTCCCAGCATTTTGTTTGTGGAAAGATGTTTTGTGAGGGGTACATCAGAGGGGCAGACACAGTAAAACTTCAAGCTGTCCTAGTGGAGTGGCATCTTTGACATGGATTTTCAAACGGCTTCTTGTTGTGCCACACAGAAAGCCTGGAGGACATGTCTGAAGCCTGGGGTATGGGGCAAAGAGGCTCTGCGTGAGGACAAGACATTCCAGGGCTGACTGATGAGCAGCTGTAGGAAGCAGACGAGTTTTAACACGTCATTTACAGCATGGCCAGTAAGGAGAGTCAGGTCCAATGGATAAGAACTAGCCTGGCATTCAGAAGGTGCAGGCTCTGCCTCTGAGTCTGGCAGTAAACTGCTGCATGAGATTGGCTTTATCCTTCCATGTTGTGTTTTGGCTTGTTCAAGGAATCTTCAAGATGTTTGTGATTTCTTAGTGCGTGTGCTCTGCCATACTTAGCACAGGGACCTTATCTGAGGGTCTTCAGACTGTAGTTATGTATCAATCAGACCTCTACGCTAAGATAGCCACATAAGTCAAAAAAAAAAAAAAACCAACATGTGAGAGGCAAAACTAGAAACCTGACTTTTAATCCTTCTTTCTTGTCTGTAACTTTGGATTTCTTTGGATAATTTTTACAGCAAATTGGTAGCCAACATAATTTGAAGGAGGAGAGACCTACCTGATCTTCCTGCATCCCATGGTCTTGCATCATACAAAAGCTGAGCAGGTTTCACATTTTTTTAATACTTTCTCAGAGCAGAAGCCCTGGTGAGGCAGTGCACGCTGCTACTGGCTGATTGAAAGTAGGTGGTGTCTGCTCCAGAGACATCAAATCAGGTGGATGGGATGTGATCACTACACACTGTCCATATTTCATGATAATAAAGTCTCCAAGGAAAGGAATTTAGGGGAAGCAGCTCAGTTTCCTAACTGCCTTTGAATTCAGAAGGCAGCAGAATGGTTTTGTTTGTTAGGAAAAAGAGAGAGGCCAGCTCTAACGATGTCTCTGAATGTGAGAATATGTTTCTGTGTTGATATTTCATTATCTTTTATGCGATATATTTTTATTTTCTGTGGAGTTTGGCTTACTTTATTTACATATATAATAACCTCCCTACTGAGTAAACAAGAGATGCCCAGCTAAGCAAACAAGCCTGCGGGTGATGGGAGAGAGAAAGGAGAAGAATAGCGAGAGGGAGAGGAAAAGAGAGGTGGCAATAGGAAAAGGGTAAACAGACAAGCACTAATTAAGGCCTTCATCACAAGCGGGGAGATGTGCGAGGCTGACAGTCAGTCAAGCAGATAAGGGGAGATGAGTTAAAATCTAGCCCCAGGTTTTGAAGGCCCCGGGGCCCTGGCAGACAAGAGCACAGTGAACGAACAGGAAGCCACTGAAAGGTCATTTGCATGAAATGATGTTCAGGATCTTTGCTTTTGTTGTTGCCCTGATAGCTTTAACCCGTTCCTGGCCCAGGAAACGCGCAGAAATAAGACGCTTGCAGCCAGGCTCTGTACATGGCTCGAAGGCTTCGTTTGGTGGCCTCCTAGGGAGCGTACGCTTTGTGTAGGGACAGAGAGGGCTTGCGTTTCCCACTGAAAGTAAGGGGAGCTGAAATTCTTTGGCAAGTGATGTGATCGTACTCTAGCAGAGCAGAAAATGGAGAAATCATTAAAATGGGAGACTCTCAGCATGAACTGAGCCGCGAGCTTGCCAAGCTGAAGGGAGATGCAGTGACCTGCAGTGGTCACACAGTCAGGTATATGAAGCTTTGAATTTTGTTCATCTTTCCAAATCTTAGGAGTCTCTGTTGTGGAGTGATGCCAGAGCGTATTGTCACTTGCCCTTGCTGTGTTGTCACAAACATGTCATGACTATCAGGAGCGTTGTGCAGGTGGCTCCTGTCTGCCCCTTCAGCTAGAAATGAAAATACTCTAAATGTGTGGTGCTGATGAAAGAATGGGCAAATTGTAGTCACAGTCTCTTCTCCCTGAGCTACTTTAGGAAACAAGATCTCGCTTGGATCTCCAAGGGACTTCTGACACTAAAATTATTATTATATGCTCTCAATGTGCTTAGGCATTTAGGCAGATTGTAATTCTTAGTGACACGGCAAGAGAAAGGGATGCAGAAGTACTCACCATTTTGTAATAGTCAGACAGCCAAGCACACTTTTTTTCCCCCCTGCTTCTGTTTAGACATTTGATAAGTCACAGTCGTTACTCTTCTTTTCCTTCTGAAACATAAAAACTGGTTATAGGGAAGTCTACGAGATTAAACAGGGGTCTGGGCTACTGGACTTCTGGGTTCTCCTCCAAACCACTGCCACTTCATTACTGTTTGACCTTCTCCATCTCATGTCAACTCCTTGTGAGCAATGTATCTGTCTGCCACAGAAGGGCAAGAAGCCTTAGTTGCCTCCAAGACAGGGGATGACTGGAATTGTTAAATCTCATATTGGTAGAGCGCTTTCAGGTCATAAGGTAAAAATGGTGTTGAAGGTAAAAAAGTAGTTAATGGTAGAGTAGCACTCTGGTGGGGGTGGTAAACGGGGTGTTGAAACTTCAGGTTTAAGGCCAAATCGTGGTGGGAATCCAGCGAGGTCTTTAGAGGCATCAGCCTGTTGTGATGTAGGATCTCACTGAAGATTTCAAGTGGGGTGAGCTTCATTTAATGATTTCCAGGAAACAGCCCTCTTTTGATTCCATATCAGAGCTGAAATGTTTGAATCTGAAGTTCGTCTTGTACTGAGACTGCACAGATCTGGGCTGTTGTGCTTGGCGAGCTCTTGGGTTTTTCTGCTAGACTCAGCGCTGTCCAAACCAATGCATTCCCTATGCAGGTATGGAGACTCTGGCACAAGCTCAGCTGCAGCAAATACCTTGTTTAGTGCTGTGGCTAGCCACAGCTTCCTAGAGGTGATGGTGCTCACTGGCATTTGGTGTAACTAATCTATTTCTCTGCTTCTAGGATAAAATCATCTTGATAATGGAGACATTTTGTGTTTAAAAGAAAAGACAGCAAAAAGCTCCTGAACTTTTCTTCTGTTTCATTTTGCTCATAGTTAGCACCGCGTTCCAAATGCAGGCTAGTATTACGGCATGCTCGAATCCCATTTAGATAAATATTTTTTAAAAGCTACTGCATGGAATCAATGGATATGATAGCGTGTAGGATTACAGGTAATTGTTCCGTGTTCTGAATACAGTGCCATGACTGTGAAAGGACGTTTTCTAAAGCAGGAGCTAGGAGCACGTGTAAGAGTAGCAGAATATAGATAGCCTTTGGCTAACTGCTTAGTGCTCCTGCTCTCTGTAAGATTTTAAAAGGCCACTGTCATCAAGTAATCTTTCTTTTACTTTGCTATATGTAATAGCTTCTTTAAAAGCCTGGAAATGATTTTATTTGCCCTTTTACTTTGGACAAACAGCACTTTCTTCTTTTTTTTTTTGGCCTAAGATTCCATTGGCAAGTCAACCTCAAGCTGGGTTCAGTGTGTTTTTGCTTTAAATTCCTCATAATGTCAGTGGTAGCATCAGCCTAAGAGGAGATTCCTAAAAGTGTGAATAATCTGTTCAACATACGACCTTGAAAGCTGAGCAAGTGGAAAGGAAATATTGATTATTAAAGGTGAGGTGTATGTTGGAAAGAAGCTTTATGTAGGTTCAATAAGAAAGATCAGTGAATTCATATGTTGAGAGAACTCACTTGTATGAAAGAAGAGCCCTTGTGCTCGTTTAGTGGGGAAATGTGTAGTTCCATTCTGTGTTTTATGAGAACATGCTGCTGCTGAAAAACAACCCTGTAGAAGGCCTACAGTGCAATAACCTAAACTCACTTATACTTAGGGTTAAAATGCAAAATTGCTAACTTCCCTTCGTGCCAGTGGCACAGATGACTAGGACAGGGGTTGTTGCAACAAGTTCTATAGAACAAGTGGGAGAAGTGTTGTCCTGCTTCTTTTCAGCTGCTTAATTTGGTTGTCCAGAGTCCAGCAAGTCTCTGAGCAGAGTGTGGCCCATTGCCAGCTCTGTGCCCACCTTCCCTGTCCCATGTAGTGGTGAGCTTGTTCTCCAGAGATCACATTGCTCTTGCCATAACAAACAGCCTAGACATTCGGCCCAGCTCACAGCCTGGACAGCCAGGTAACTCTTGGTTCCAGCAGGATTTTAAGTAACTGTGAGTGGAACTGGGCAAAGCATCTGCCAGCAATGACAATAGAAGTCACAAAGACACAGGAATTCTTCTGTTCTCTCTTTGAGGTTCACCTTTGGTACCAAATGTGCCTCAAAACTTGTGATTCTAGGTCAGGGAGGATAGGCAGCCCGATGTTTGTTCTCGCAAAGAGAGGAGCACCCCATGACTGTGTTAAACAAACAAGCTGAGAGATGTCAGGCTCTCTGCGTTTTTAACTTCTCATTTTGGGACAATGCCAGCCTCTGCTATGCCAGGGTAGTGTGATATGTGCCCAGCAGTGTGGTACGGGGTCAGAGAGGTTTGCTCACTGCAGGGAGCAGCCTGTGATTTCCCAAAGCCCAGGCAGGAGATATTTCTCTCTTTCTCTCTCTCTTTTTTTCCCTTTTCCGCCTGGGAAGGAGGCAGCATCACAGACCTTGTCACCCGGAGCTCAGAGGACAGCAACCATATGCCTTCCGACCTCCCCTTGCTTTTCTAGGAAAGATTCAGCCTGCTGGGCATTTCCTATCAGAATCGTTAAGAGACAAGGCTGGGATGTGGCCCAGGCTGGCGTTCCTCTGGTGCTGCGCATGGATGGAGGAGAGGGGGAGGGCGAGGACGGGAGCGTGGCAGCGGGAGGAGGGTGAGGAGACTGGGCTGCCAAAGAGGAGGAGGAGGAATGGGAGAGAGGCGAGATTGGCATCTTCACGTGCATGAGGCTGGCCAGCGTCAGGACAGCTTGATGAGCCCGCAGGCTGCTATCTCGTGCAGTTGTTCTGATTGCAGTGATGGGCTTGTCTGGTGGCTTGGACACCAGCTTTCATTATCATGCTCTGCAACATTTGCAGTGGCAGGGAAAGAAGGGAATAGAGGAGGTAAAGAAGCCCTGGAGTTACACACACACACAGGCATGCACACACACAAATCAGAGACAGGAAAGGGAGAGAAACAGCTTTGGCTCCAGGCTATTGATTTTGTTTCGTGACACTTGCTCATTTCCCACTTAGTGTGCCTCTCTGCTCTTGTACCTTCCCGGTACGGCTGCAGCAGCTTGTGGTACAAGAATAGTGAACCCAGAGTGGCAGGGGCTTAGCAACTGGAGAGTTGACCCATTGATCTGAAGCCATTTTGCAAACAATCCCATGTGCTTGCAACAACGCGCAAACAGCGTGGCATGTCTCCACACTCAGCAAGGGTGCATACTCCCACTTGCTTTCTCACAAAGATATCCTCAGGCCTGTCTTGTATATGCACATGCATCCTCTCCGTGTGCCCACACTTCTGCTTCTTACCTAGTCTTCCAAATACTCACTCACCTTTTCTCCCACAGCCTCTCTAACAGTCTTGTCTTCTATCAAGGAACAGGAATCTGGATGCAGAGCTATCAGAAATGTCTTCCTAGAAAAGGGAAGCTTCTTTGGAAGCACGGCCCCAGATGTTGCAGTATTACTCCAGTGAGGCTTTAACCTCAAGTGCAGTACAGTCAGAAATCCTGGGACAGTGATACTGTTCAGGCAGCACCAGCCTGTTCTTTTTTCTTCTTACCTCATTTATTCCCTGTTCACTGAACGTTGCTGCCAGAGTCATAGGTGGCAGATGTGGCAATAGCAGTTTTGATCTTTGCCACTTTTTTTTTTTTTTCTTGTAATGTAACCAACTGCCTGACCTGAGGGAAAGACAAAGAAACTGCTAGTTGGCTGGAGAGCTGAGTGAACCAGGGCTGTCAGCAAATATAGGTAAAACTGTATGAGGGTTCATAGGACGCTGTGTTGTGGCCACCCATATTTTGTCTTGTGAAATCTCAGGGATTATCAGATGATTTTTTTTCACACCAGCACCAGAAAGCTTGGGGGTATGGAGGAGATCTGCAGAGTTGGTGCTACTTTGCTGCTAGCATCATTGTCCTGTATTTAGCAGCTTCTGCTAGAGCTTCTCTGCTCCTCGGCTTGGAAGTGTAGTTCTGCTCTGAAAGTAGAAAGGGACTTCTGAGTTAACAATTTCTTTGTTGCTTTCTCATTTTCTGGCCCAAACACACAGATGTACATGCATGTACAAACATACACATGCTCTCTGTCACACACACGTATGTGCAGTTTTTCCTCTGCTTTGTATTAGGGGATGTTGGAATGCCGTGGCTGGCAGGAGCTGCTAACCGGATTAGCTGGTAAATCAATCTGGAGCTCCCAGTGGGAGGGATGGACAGGTTCAAGATGAATAACAGCTTGTCTGAAGCAGTAAAATGGATTATTTTATCAAAAAGAAGGAGGGAAAATATCCTTTTTCTTCTTCTGGACTTATGCCCAAAAAGAGGGAAGTGGTTTCAAGAAGGTAAGGAAAGAGATGTTTTTGAAGAGGCAATGATTCTTACCATGGTGCTAATTATGTTTGTCCATTCTTTTTCAGTGTATTTAAGTGCATCTTGTCTTCCTATTAAATTGTTCCTTTATTTCCCAAATCTTGGTAATGAATCTGAGAGTGTAAGGGGTGAGGCAGCTCCAAGTCAGGTTTCTTAGTGGCACGGTGAGATTTTCCTCCTTCCATTTGTCCTCCTTTTGTTGTGCAAGATGTAAACCGCTTCCAGAAACACGCCTCCGTACTGATCCTCAGGACTTGGCCAGTGAGTCGGGGCTGAAGCCACGGGGTTTCGCAGTGTGCTTGTCTCTGTCTGAGATTTGACATTGACTGATGGACTGAAAACAGTCACTTGTTTAATCAGAGCTGTGCTGAGATCAAATGGCTTCATCAGGGATTCAGCAGCAACTGTACTTCAGATTCACCTGTGCAAACTAAGCAAACCAGCAGAAAGAAATGCTGGCGAGGAGGAGGAGCCTCTTTATGGCTATCGATAGACCTGGGCCAAGTTGCATTTGCTGATGTATTTCTTAGCTAAGTGGCTGAGGAAATAAAAATAGCTTTTCTTCCCCCTTCCCTCCTCCTACTTCATTTTTCCTACACAAACCCAAGCAAACTGGAAAGGGAAGGGAAGAACTGCTACTTTTTTCTGGTAGCCTTGTCTGTCTGCAGCATTGCCAGGATTTTTTTTTTTTGCAAGCTTGCAAACTATGCAGCAAGTGTGTGCTCTGGTGTGAAGTGCCAGCTTCTGGAATCACGATGTTATGTGAGAGCCTCAGAGCCTCCGTTTATTGTCTGGAGGCTTCGGTTGTGGTTTTTGTTGTTGGGTTTTGTTTTTTAACTAAACATTTTAGAAGTAAGCTCACGTTACAAGAGTATTTTCCCTGTAAACAGTGAACAAAGAGCATCTTCAAATTTCTTAGTATAGTTCAGATATGATGATTTTTGAAAGTAAGCTTAAGACTTCAACAAGTCTGCCTTGGGATTAGTACTATCAGGATGTGCACACATAGCATCAGGATTGAAGTCCTGGTTCTGCCTCAGATTTCTGTAATCTTGGACAAAGGACTTAGTTGGCTATGTACCTCATTTCTTCCATCTCTTAAATGCAGCAAATAGTATCTAATTCACAAAACATGCTTAAAAATAACACACGGGTCAACTGAATCTTGAGTGAGGTAACATGAGCTGCTCTAACATCAGTTTATCTTTCTTTCCTGTGAGCTTTTTGTCTGACTCTCCCGTTACCTCTTCCAGAGGATTCCCTCCTGCCACCTTTGCTTCTCCAGGGCCTAAGTTGCTAGTAAATTCCCAGCAGGGGAAAAAGAAAGCGGGGAAAAAAACAAACAAACAAAAAAAAACAGTATGTTTTTGGAAAATACTGAGGAATGGTTTCAGTAACCAGAATTAGGTACTCAGGATCCCAGCTGATGGTGTTAGAATGGGATGGAAAGAACGAACCCAGCTCTAAAATGGGAGCCAACACAAAGGCTTTGTTCATTGCTATTGTTCTCCATTTGGTGCACGTGCTAGTAGCATTTCACTGCTAAAATGTGAGACTGTGTCTAGTCCTGAGGGACCCCATTGGTCCCTTTGCGCTTTACAGCCTTCCCCAGGCACTGCTGGAGCCTGGGCAGTAGCAGGACCCTTTTTTCCAACTGACTGCACTGGTCTTAACACCTAGCTCCACTGGACTGGGACAGTGCTGGGATTCTCCACTAAATCCTGTGCCCTATATTAAAAGCATGCAAGTAGTATGAGAAAAAGGCAATGGCCTTTATATTTTGTATGTGTAGGCTGTGAGGTTTGAGGCTGCATTAAGAGAAATCTTGTGTGATAAGGGGTTTCTTGCCAGTGTGGAGAATACGAGCAGATAATCAGATTTATGAGTCTCCGGTATCATTCAAAACCCACTGTATTACACTCTCTTCTCCTATCTCATTTTATGACCACGTTCTACCTTCACACCCAGTCTTAGGCAGGATGCATGGGGAGCACAGCACAGCCATCATCCGCTATGTGTCACCCCCCAGACCTCAAGGCAGGAGCTGGTTTTTGCTCTCTGTGCTGGTGATGCAGTCTGGTGCCCAGAAGGAGGCTGCCTTTGAAAGAAAGTAGGGCAGTGTCCAGCAGCTGGGGCAAGACTCTTCCAGTGACAGCGGCCTGGTAAGGAGGGGGGAGGTCTGGGGGCACCCCCGCTTCCTTTGTTGCTGGGCTGACACACGTTGTGCTCTGCCCAGAGCGCTGCAGAGGAGACCTCTGGGCAGCAGCATGCATGCTCACCTGCAGTATCTAGCATAAAAGGGTCTGTGTTCTTTACGGATTCTTAGGGCCAAGGGTAAAAGCTATAATTAATAATACCAATAGAAAAAGCAGCAATAATAACAACTCTGATGCTGTTAAGCCATGACCTGAAAAAACAGAACAACAAAAGAAAAGATGTAGGTCTGATCTCTACCCCTCCTCCTCCTCATCCACCCACGTCTCCATGCTTCTTTCTTTCTTAGTTTTCTTTTCTTTTTTTTTCTGCTCTGGACATATCCTTGAATCCTGGCCATTCCCCCAGCTCATGGGATTCCCATTATACATGCTTGATATTTAACAGCTTTGGCGTCTTCCATAGCTGGGAGTGAAAAGAGAAAAAACAGCTCAGAAATGTAATGGAGCAAAATCTGCATACTGAGCCCTGGTTCCATGTCCCTTTACACTGTTTACTTAGACCTTAAAAGCTACGAGCTGTGGCATCTACTCAAACTTCATCAGCCCATCCTGCCCTGATGCTGGCCTTGGAGACACTGCCAGCTCCAAGTTCCTTCTGCAGCCACCTCATTAGTCCAGGAGGATTTTGTGTGTCTTGCGGCCGCCCGATGCTTTTTTAAGTCTCCTTTCTTGCAGCTGGCTTTGCTGCAAACTGCTCGTGTCTGCTGTGCGGGAGGGGGCTGAGGGCACTGCTCGGGTATTTGGAGGGCAGAATACATGCTTTTTTTCTTTGATAAGAATCACAGAATCACAGAATCACACAGAATCTCTAGGTTGGAAGAGACCTCAAGATCATCGAGTCCAACCTCTGACCTAACACTAACAGTCCCAAAAAAGAAATCCCTGAGTATTGCCAACAGCTAAACTTACCCCTACGTGAATGTTTCCATTATTTGCTTGGTAAGCTATGATGCATCTTTGTCACACGGCGAGGTGTTGGTGTGCTCTGTGCTGTGATAAAGGATTAAGAAGTCTTCTCTCAGGTGATCATAACCCCCCTTTGTATGACTGTACATACATAGATATTTTAAAATTATCATTATCTTCAGGTAAAAGAGAATATTGTGCCATTTTTGATTGGAATAATTCAGAATGAAGTAAGCCCTTCAGAAGACCAAGTAAAACGTCTTAGCTGAAACCCAGCCTCCCTCCATGCCAGCCTCATTCTGCTGCCTGAAGGAGTCCCTAGAAATCCCCACACTTCTGAGCTCTCCTTGGCTGAAAAAGAGTTGTGGTCAGGTGGACCCCACAAGCAAAGCAGTAGCTATCCCCAGCCTTTTTTCCCGCTAATTTTCTGAACCTTTTTTTTGGTTTGGTTTGTTTTTTTAAATATTTGGTTTTTTATTTTGACCAGTGTATATGAGCTTTCTGGCATCAAGGGGTGATGCACAGTATTCACAGAGGCCTGCCGGTTGTGATAGAACTGGAAACGTGTCTTATGAGTATTTAAACAGTCCGTTTGTGTCACCTTCCTTTACATGTCTAAAATTTGGAAGTAAGCATTGTAGTGTCACTTGATGTGAGTCAGTGGTGACAATCAGACACTTCCAGAGGGCAGTTCATATGACTGGTCTAAGATGCTTGTTTTATAATGAGGCAAACATCATATCCCTTTTACCACAGCTATAAATAAACTAGGAGAATTAGCTCTTAATTAGACACCTCAGTTTTAGACATCTTAGTTATATCTGATTCTTTACAAATAGCCTCTGTGGTCCTTGCCTACATCCAGCTGTTGGGTTGGTTTTTTTTTCAGCATCTCTGACCCAGCAGGGCAGGAAGAAATTATCCTCTCTGATAACATTTTCTCATCTGACAGACTCCACAGAAATGTCTCAAAGGTGAAAATTTTGGTCTGTGTTACTCACAAGTTCTTTTTCCTTTGCAGTAAGGGAGATGCTCTGGCCAAAGCCCTGTTTACCCATGAAGAAACTTCTTTGGGGGGCTGAGCTTTCAGGTTTTGTTTCATGTTCTGCCCCAGAGTTGCAGCCCCAAGAAAGGCTCAGTTCCTTCATTTTGGGATTCATCTATTTGAAAATCCATTGCAGACCTTCAGCTGTCAAGGCTGGAAGCCCAGGATATCTGAAGTTAACTCTTTCATTTCACAGGAGGACTCAGGGTGTCAGCCCATTAAATAACTGAGGGCAGCTTCCTGTACTCTAGTAATCGAGTCTCTTGTTTAATGACACCATGCAAAAGCAGCAGCAAATAAATACTGCAGTCCTTTCAGACAAGCTGCTGCCAGACACCGTTCTCCACTGGGACAGGAGAACCCCTTTGTACTCAAATGCAATTACTGCTTTCCTTGCTGGAAGTCGGATGAGAATTGGGCTCCCTGAGTTAACCCCCTTGCCTTTGTTGCACCTTTCAGGTTGGTAGATGGTCACGTATTTATAACTCCGTGTAGAAGCAGGTCAGCATATTCTTCAAGGGCCATTATCCTGCAGCTCCCTTCAGCGCTAGGTACACAGCAGGGAGTTGCATCAAGGAAATGCATTAAGACGAATCAGCAAGAGAGAAGGGTACCTCTGGGCCAACTCCCTGCTTCTCAATTATTTATACTTCATAATTTCCAGCAAGTCACTGGCTGTTTATTGGTGCTCATCTATAATTGAAGAGTTTCCTAGATCACTGGCCAGCTTTGCTTAAGATGTAGCTGGCCGTGCTTTTGAAAGCTGTTACGAAAACCCCACAGGGAAAGGCAGGGTCTCAGGAGTGGCTGGTCATCCATTGAGGATACACCCTTTTAATTTTTGGCTTTTGTGGGCACCTGGGACTGGTAGGTTTCCAACATGTGGTTTACCATCTGCGTTTGACCACACCACATCACGTAGGGACTGTGTGCTACAGTACCAAGATGACCCCAACCAGGAGGTGTTTCAAGGATTCTGCCTTCTCAAGCCCATGCCCCTACAGTGCTCTGCTTGTTCTGCCAAAGAAGCAAGAGGAGGGTTTTGATGTTCTTAAAATTCTCAAAGAGGCCATGAAAAGGAGCTACTGTTCTGAACTGAGATGAAAAGCCAAAGGCTTGAAAACATCTAAGAACTTAAAATCTAAAGGGAAAAAAATCAAGTGCGCACTTATGCAGAGGGCGTGCTTGGCTTTGCATGCTTTGGATGGCTCC